AATCCGCTAGGAAGCCATACAGCAGTCCATAAGTTAGAAGGACTATATTGTATGATTGCAAATATTCCACCTGAATTTAATTCATAAGTGTCCAGTATATTTCTGGTTGCACTTTGGTTTGCTGCAGATGTCAAAAAGTATGGCTATGAAAAAATCTTTGAACCTGTAGTAAAGCAATTGAAACAGTTAGAGTCAGAAGAAGGGATAACTGTTAATATAGATAAAGAACCTGTTCAACTTCATGCTATTCTTGCAATGTTTTCAGCCGATAATCTTGGAGCTCATTCACTGTTTGGGTTTTAAGAAAGTTTTTCTGCCAATAAGTTTTGCAGATTTTGCACAGTTAATAAAACTGATAGTCAAAAGATATTTAGATGTGACAGTTTACACCAAAGAACTAAAGCAGAATATAATGAAATTGTTTCTAAAATTCATACACCAAATTATAATCCTTAAGAAACAGGAATTAAAAAAGGATGCGTTTTAAATGAACTCCAATATTTCCATTGCATTGAAAATAGTGCAGTTGATAGCATGCATGATCTTCTTGAGGGTGTTATACCTTATGAAATAACTCTAATTGTTTAGTCACTAATTGATATTGGTTATGTAACATTACATGAAGTTAATGTAGGAATTAATCGATTTCCATATTCACTGTCTGACATTAACAGTAGACCACCTGAAATAATGCTACCTAATTTAAGAATTAAAGCTGCAGAAGCCTGGTGCCTTATTAGAAATCTTCCAAGTATTATAGGCTTCAAGATACCTCACCAAGAACCTCACTGGCAATTATTGATATTGCTACTTGACTGTTGTGCAATAATATTTGCATCAGAAATAACTTTGTCACTAACACAATTTTTAGCATGCTAAATTGAAGATCACCATACACATTTTAAACTCCTGTACTCGAATAAAAGTTTAACACCTAAGCATCACTTTTTGCTCCATTATCCTGAGATTATGATGCGATTTGGACCAGCCAGTAGATACTGGTGCATGAGGTTTGAAGCTAAGCATCGTTTTGGCAAAGAGTTAGCATCATCAGTCAGAACACAGAAACCAGATCAGACATCAACCAGAACACAGTTTTCTCTTGCTTTTTCGTTGATGTCTAATAATATCTATGTATCACCGGAAACTCTTGGCTATTGTATACAAGAGAAATTGTATAGTATTGGTGATAATGTGAGTTATGCTGTGTGCTTGTCACTAAAACTTGAGATGCAAGATGAAATCTGTGTAGCAAAATCATTCAATTTTGGTCATTATAAAATAAAACCGGGTTGTTTTCTTATAGTTTCTCTTGAAAATGGTCTTCCACAGTTTGGAAAGCTATTGAAATTTATTTCAGTTTCGAAAAAGATTTACTTTGTCTTTGAGTTATTGCAAACACTCCACTTTGATGACCACTTCTACTCATTTGTTGTCAGTGAAACATCTTCGGTAGAGGTTGTTCTATCGCGTAACATAAAAGACTATCATCCATTAGCCAAACATTCAGTAGTATATGAGAATGAGAAAATAACCTTTATTAGCACTCACTACAAATTAATTTAAATTAGTTTTCTTTATTTTAATGATTTAATTTGAATAAATATTCTTAAATTATTTTATTTTGTCATCTTTTACTAAAAAGATTGTAGCATTAAAAGTTACCTATAATAAAGTATCCATTTTTTTTTTAATTATTTAAAAGTCAAAATTAACAGTATTATTTTGAAAAGCTTGTATTATTTACTTTTATTTGTTAATGTTATCACTTGTGTATTTCGATTCATTCTATTATACTTATTAACAGTTGAAACAAAGTTCAACCTTTCCACCAATGATTCAATAAGATTGGTCGTTGAGGAAGATGGATCAGAGGTTGAATGTTCATTTGAAATGATGCAAGCAATAGGAAGTAGTTTAATTTACACTCTTCTGGTGAATGGTGAGATATGGACTAAGCGACTGCCACAGGTAGATTCTTTCAAATTAAAGAATACAATTTATGAACATTTTGAGTAAAAAAATTACGTTATATTCCTGATGTGTAATGGTTTATGAAATTTTATTTATTTAGCAATGTACTCCTGCTACAGTTCAAGAAGCAACTTCTAGTTCAATCGGTATTGGGTGCTTAACTTAGAGTTCAACTGGAATTGTTCAACTTCTAGTTCAATTGGCATTGGGTCTTCCGAATCTGACAATGTGAATCCTTTTATTAGTATGCAGACCTTCAAACATTACCTTTTAAAACATCCAGTTAGTCTTTCTTACGTTTTTGTAACAAAAGGTCATGTTTATAATAATGTTTTAATTTAGAGATATCTAAATACCTCAGGTGTTGACTTAAATTGAAATTTGTCAAGTGTAGAATTAACTAAAAATTTCTAATTTGAATTTTTGTTAAACAGTATTTAGTTTGATTAATAATAAAGTTGTTGAATAGTACATTGATATTGTATATTTATTTTTGAGGTCACAACAGATTATGTCAAATCGATTTTAGAAACAGGAGAATTTTAGCTCGCCAGGCAATTACTCGACTGGTTGTTCGTAAAATGATTTATGTTTTAGGAAATTATCCTACACGTAGGCATAAAGAAGATGTTGCTAGTTTGCTAGGGCAACTATTTAGTATGGAGGCAATTATTTTCTTTGATCCGTCTACATATTCAGGATTTTTACAGCGGGGTACAGAAAATGCTAGAAGAGATTGGGATGGTAAGTATACTTGTTGAATATGTTGGTTATAATGTTAGCATTGCAAATGATTCTATTAAATGTTTTTTATAAATAAATTTCCAGACAATCGCAAAGTTTATAACTGGAAAAAGAGACCCCTAAATTGTGATAAAGCTACACCTACCAAATACAAAAAATCAGAACTAAAGTCATTAAGTAAAAACATTTCATTTTTTTCATTCAGTTATTCTTTTATGTTCTAAGAATTGTTATCATAAAATTTTCTTTTAATTTAATACTGTTTACTTATTCTGTTCAATTATTAAGCTTTTGCTGAAAATAGAGAAACCTGTGTATCCTCCCAAACAGTTGCTTCATCTGATGGGTGTCCCAGAAAACTAACTGATTGTGTTGTTTGCAAGGGTAATAATTTTTGTTGCGACAGAGAATGTAGTTAATGTTTTAAACTACTTATTCAAGTTTATTAAAGACTTTTGTTAATTTCTAAAATAATTTAGAAACTGTTGTTAAATTAGCGCCAATTTTTTTTTTAATTCTCAGTCTGTTACTATATATAGCTGTGGTTTGTATAGGTTTTATACATTTTTTTATTGCACATTCAAGATTAAGAATAACTAATTTGTATAAAAAGTATATATATATTTTTTAATGTTTAATTCTTGTAGGTAAAGGTAATGATAATATAAGAGATGTGGAAAAGCTTGCATTTTTATCAAGTACTCGTACGCATGAAGTTAAGGAGTGTCTGGAAAAAACCTTTTGCATTAGACAATTTTGGATAATGAATGAATCACCCACCTTGTCTTCCATATTAAAAATGTATCCAAAATTTCAAACCATTCCAGAACTAGTAAGTATTCAAAATTTATTATTTAGTATTTATATAATAGTTTTTTATAATAATATTTTTATTATAGTTTAGTATTTTATAATTTAGTATTCTAAAACTTGTGTTAAGTGTACATTTTTGAAAAGCCATTTAAATTTACAAAAATAGAAATACATGTATTTAAAAAAACACACATGATTAACAAGAATTTTTTTTTGCTGTCATGAAATAGACATTTTATAAAGCATGTAAGTGACATAATAATGTGCAATATATATTTTATATAACAGTTAGATGTCGAACTTCAAATGATGTTTTCTGACTGCACTACAGATTTTTTATCTGTATTTCGGACAGAAATTTTAATCCCAGCATTGGAATTAACAGGAGATAAATCAATAGAACTGATAGCAGCCGATGCTAAAAGAGGCGATAATGGTGAGTTTTCTTCTATTATTATTTTTCTTCAGATTTTGTATTTAAACGTTTTTTGAGGAATGAACTGCGAAAAAAATACAAGAGGAATGAACTGCGACAAAAGATAATATAAAGAATGGATTAATAGAAAAGTGTAATTAGAGAAATGAACTGAGAGAAGAGTATTTACTCTTTGTTTTTGTTTAAATAATAAATGCTGATATTGTGTAGCATTACAACTTTGTTGCGTTTAATTCAAAAATCAGAACCAAACCATGACTGCTCAAATTATTCTATTTTAAAGGTTGGCATGCGTATCATGCTTGCAAAATTATTTCACTTATGCTGAGAACAACCGTGAAACGGAAAAGGATTTCAGGACTGGAGTCTTTCGACCATTTAATGAGGATTATTGAGGTTATTTTTTATAATTTTCCCAATTTGTAATTAGATAAAAAAAATTTAACCTTTTCATCCATATTATGTAATAATTTTATAAATAAATAGTGACTAACTGTATTATATTATATATAATATATAATATAATATATGTTATATATAACTATATTATATAACTAATTTCCATTTACTAAATTTTAATTTAATTTTTTTGTTCTGTTTCAATGCCTTATGGGGCTGTTGGTACGTAAGTATAATGAAATAAATGCTATACAAATATAAATCCAGAAATTGTAAAACAAAATCTTATAATCCATGTTTATTAAAGTATTTATAGTACACGATGACTATGTGTTATGTTTACCTTATACTGCAGAACAAAATAAAAATATGAAATAGTTAGTTTAGCAAATAATTTTACTTTAAGTCACCCAATGATTATTTTTTGTATTTCAGCCAGGAAGTTCCATGACAGAAGCTGCAGAAAACTGTTGGAAACCATACCCATTGCTTCTGATACAAGGTAGCGTCAATGAAAAAGTTTTATTGGTAAAAATAGCTGCTGAAAAATCCATAATTACAGCTGGATCATCAATTGAAGAGGGTATCGAGCGATTGTTTAAACTTTTTTGGTGTTTCAACTTAGAGTATACCGAAGAATGTGCGACTTTTTTTAAATTTTTCCAATTAATTTACAATTTGGGAGAAAAACACTCATTTCCAGCATCGGTTTATCATCTTCAAGCGATGTTGAAGATAGTTAAGAAATAAACAATATATAATTTTTTTTTCTCAATATTATATGTTTTTCTTATGTTTTTTATATATTTTAATTATAAACGGTCTTATAAATACATTTTAAACTTGAATAAACGTTTTAGTGCTGATTCTAACATAAGCCAATACAAAGTCTTTAAATGTGAAATTCATTTTGGTTATATTATAATCATCATTTGATTAAATATAATGAAATAAATATTTTGAAAACTTGAGGAAGTTACATATACAACTAACATTATAAACATTTTCTAATGTAAATAATTTTGTTTTATAAAAAAATTATTAAGTTGCTAACATAAGAAAAAAAAGTTGCATAAAAGTCCTTTCTTTAGCGTATAATTAAAACGTGAGAAAGTGGAACCTTTTAACGGACTTATCTGCAAACTTTACGTAATGTTCCGTTAAAAAAATGTAACGGACTGACTCCGTTAAATATTGAGTCCGTAAATTTTACGGACAACTCACTCGGCTATAAAACAACGGACTACTCCGTTAAAAATTCCGTTAATTTTAACGGACTCGTTTTTAAAGTGTAGCCTAGAAACTACTTTAAAATAGAAAAGCCTTGAAAATGACGTAACTCGGCTAATAATAATGATATTAAATTAGCGTATTCATATTATCAGATTTGAAAGTTCTCTGAAAATAATACCTCTTTTCTGTATCCAGAACAAAGAATATTTCGTTCATGCACAGTGTTTTGATTACCATATTGCTATTTCATTATTAAAAAAGTTGATACATGCAAATTGTATTACAGTTGTATTGATGTGGAATACGACATTCAAATATATGTAAACTTTCTGAAATAGCATAGTTTCAAATTACATAATATTTTTAATTATATATATTTAGCATAGTTTTTAATTACATAATATCTTTAAATACATAATATATCCAGACATTTATTGTGTCGTAATATCTTTAAATACATAATATCTACATACTAATTACCAGGGTTGGTACCCAAAAACCCACCCAAAAACCCAAGACCAAAAACCCACCAAAAACCCAACTTTATGGGTTTTTGGTCTTAAATTTTTAATTTTTAGTTTTTTTGTACATAAATCAATTTCCATTAACACACAAGATTTGATGCTGCTCAACTAACAACAAAAAATGAAGTTCAGTAAGTCATAAACAAGAATTTTATTTTACTTGGAGCAATAATATTCAAGCTTAATCATTTAAAACAAAGTAATCTAAAAGTCATCAGCAATTGTGCATCATGATCTTAAATGTCTGTAAATTCGTACAAGCATTTCAGCTTTTTCTCTTCCTAAACGATTTCTAATTTTGCTCCAAATAATCCCAAAAGATGAGAAAAATCTTTCTATGGATCCAGTACTAGCTGGACAATTGTGCAACTGCCGTAAAAATTTTGCAAAATTTGCAGGCAATTTGAAAGACTTAGATTCTTTTATTTCTATAATTCTCAACCAATTTGTTGCTGATGTTGTGCTTTTAACACTATCGTTGAATAAATTTGTTGGGAAACAATTAGCATCTTTTAGTTTAAACGCATAATAGCCTGGCATAAATTCAGGATAGACTTCATTCAACCATTCCTCAGCTTCTTCTTCTTGACTTCTATCCAATGTTCTTCCTAAGTAAATAAGTAAAGTTATAAGAGTAGTAAACTTAAATAAAAACTTTACATTTGTTTTTATTAAAAATTAATCAGATGCAATACTTTAAGTTTTTTACAATTGTTTAGTTACCTTCATATTTTGGATCTGTTAAATTGGCAAGAAAATGACATGGAACAATTGCCTTCTTAAACCTCTTTAAAATATCATCTTTGTACAAAGCCAATTTTTCATTATGTATGAGGCTTTGCCAAATCTCAACTGCTTCAGACAAAGTTGTATCGTCTGCTTGCAACTACAGTAAACACAATAATTTTGCTAATAATTAGGTAAATAAAGTTAATGGTGACATTGTTCCTAATATAAGTGGTTTTAATATACTTAATATAATTAAATTTAATAAATCCAATTAATAACTAATTTTATTTACCTTATCTAACGCAACACTAACAATTTTCAGTTGTGCATATAAATTTATTGCTTCTCTCTGTATTGATAGATTGTCAATTAGGCTTCCTATCGAAGGATCAATGGATTCCATATGCTCACCTCTAATGTCAACGTACAGAGAATGATTAGATATGTATGTCTGTAAACAATCTAGTTGGGAGTTCCAGCGAGTATCATTAGGTAGCTGTGGCATCAGTCCACCTTTTTCCAATAACCAACCCTATAATAAATTTATTTAAGAAAATTTAACAAAGAAATATTAAAAAATAATTTTGTAAAAATAAAGCTAGGATCTCTTTTGCCATCATTATCATTAGGCTTATATCATTAACATAGCTGTGTTATTTCATAGTATTGTATTACAGAATATGATCAATAAGTAAAGAATTTAATACATACATGTGGTTGGTGATGATTACGAAAATATTTATGAATTGCTATTATATGCTTTACTATAGACTTTGGAGAGACATCCTTTTCAACCAAATTTAAAAAATGAGCAGAGCAACCAAATGTTATCAACTTAGGGGCTTCAGCCTGCAAAAGTTTTCTCATTTTAGACATTTTATTTTCGTTGTCAGTGCATACTGCAAATACCTAAATAAAAAATGAAACATATATGTGTATAAATATGAAGGCCTCAACGGAAGAACGATCAGAGTCACACTTTTGATGTTTTGAGAAAATCAATTTTTTTAGATTTAAAACACCATCATGTAGTTCAACGAATTAAAATCACCCCAAAAATCATTTTATTAAAATCGTTCTTCCGTTGAGGCCTTATATATATATATATATATATATATATATATATATATATATATATATATATATATATATATATATATATATATATATATAAATGTATATGTATATAGTATATATATATACATTAAATAAAGCAGTTAAACATCTAACACTTACATCTTTATTGAACGTTTCTTTTGCAATTTTAAATGCATCCTTAGCAGCTTGAGCGCAATATTCTGCTGTTTTTGATTGGCTTCCAGTGTCAATTGCAGAAATGAGATAAGGTTTATTTTTACTATGGATGCTATGAGCAATTATAGGATCATTACTGAATGTACTCCAACCATCTTGAATTAGGGTAACAGCACTATCATCAGCAAGATCATTTTTCATTAAATTGATTACTTCTTCATTTATCTTTACTAAGAGTTCTGAAGATATCTGTTTTCTATTTGGTGGCTCATATCCAGGTCTAAGTTTTTTAAGCAGCTTGGTAAATTCAAGATTTTCTACTACGTTGAATGGTATATTTGCTGAAAAGAAAAATCTTGCAACTTGTAAATTTAGTTCATCCTTCTGATTACTTGTTGTTGTAGTAACAAATTTAGAAATAGATGTTTGCTGTTGCATCGTCATTGCAGTTGACTGAACAATTGACGAATAAAAAGAATCACTAATAATGCTTAAACCATCTTGCTCATTATCATCAGACAGGCTAGACTTATTTGATGCTGCAGATGTAGATGGCCTTGACTCTAAAACTGATATATCACTTAACACTTCAGCGGAATTATTATTGCTTCGTTTATTCTTTCTTCTGCATTTATCCAAATGGATCTTAACTCTTTCTATTTTTTTAATTATGCTCACTTTGCAATAATTACATATTACTCTATTTGGTTGATCACTTAATATGGTCACTTCATTCCACTCACTAGCCTTATTTCTTCCCCTGAATGATACTTTGGCATGTTGAAGACGTATAATCTACTTTTATTTTGAATTTAACTAAAAAGATAACTCTATTTAAAAATAGATTTATATTATAAAAAAATGCAATCTGATTATTAATAAAGCTTTTGTATAAGAAAATATACCTGTAAAAAATGAAAAATAGCTTTATTATATTATAAACTATAAATTAATCAAACTTTGATTACTAAAGATTTATACCAAACTTTAGCAAAAACCCATCAAAAACCCACCCAAAAACCCAGCTGGGTTGGGTTTTTGGTCAAAAACCCGGGTTTTTGCCAACCCTGCTAATTACTCTTAATAATTGCATAATATCTTTAAATACATAATATATCCAGACATTTATTGTGTCGTAATTTTATTACTATAAAATAAATGACTCCATTTAAATGACCTTACTTTGGTATTTTTACGGATTAGGACATCAAATTATATGAGATTATAATAATAAGTTGTGAACTTTTAAAAGTAGTTCTTTAACTAATTCTAAGCCTAAATTTCATAACAAATTTTCAACTATGTTCATACTTAAAGGAATTATTTCTTACGGCATTAAGTTAAAAACGCATTCTCGTTTTGAGATTTACGCAGTGGAATGAAATATATCAGGCGGATGGAATAAACTACCACAGATATCTCACTCTTTCTATTACACAGGCACCCAAACAGGAGACAGCTATCTTAAGAGTTATCAATACCAAGGTGTGACTTCACAAGGTTATAACACCGGCAATCAAACAGGAGACAGCTAGTGCAAGGCTTCACAACATAGATAGCGAAGCATTGATGAACCAAATAATAAAATAAAACAATTGATTATATCGATAGTCTGAAAAAGTTTTCTAGAGAAAAGGAAGTTTTAGTGGTCTATTTTAACAGCACGTAGAAAATGGATGAGAACCTACGACTACTACATAATCATTTGTTGCCTTAAGAAATTTTCAACTACTATATTTTTTACGTGTTTATAAGAATAATTTCAACTGACTCATACCAAATCAGTTTAAGTTAACTATATATAATGAAAAGTTATCATACTAATAAATGAATAAATCATACAGAGAATATAAAGATATATATTCTTATCATAAAGACATTGAAGTTGCTTGAATAAAGCCATTTTTGTTATCGGAGAAAAACTGGAATACATTACTTTTCAAAGAGAAAATGTTACAAATGGACTATATTTTGATCGCTCTTATCTAGGAAAAAGTTATCTTACTTACTGTATGAGTTCGGTATACTTGACCTAAGGTTCGATAATAAAATTAGTAACTAATTATTTATACCCTCAAAAACTTTTGATCGGGTTTGTTGCTACTTTTGACTTGACTTGCAACATTTAGTTACCAACCCAGAAAAACAACCCTAAAAAACAATTCAAAATAAACAATAAAATGCAATAAGTTACGTATTATAATATGTTGTAAGTATACGTCATATAATATGTTATAAGCTACGTAAACAGAGATTTATGTTAAGGAAATATAGTTTATTCACGCTTGCATTTAAATAATAAATATATATTTTTGCAGAAACAATTTTTTTAAATTGTAACTAGTCAAAAATTTGTTTATTGAAAGTAAAGTTAATTACAATTTTAAGATAAATTTCATAACATTTAACTCTTTCACTACCGCAAGCCGCTGACAGTGTATGCTTCACAATGTGTCATGTTTTATATATGGACATATCTAAATTGTTTTTACCACGTTTTTACTAGCTCGCTTTCCTTGTTTGTTTGTTTGTCAGGGTGGAATTTTGCAACTCAATTTTAACCCACTTTTCGATTAACTAGAGCTCTGAAACTTTTACTATAGCTCAGAACCCGATGACAATGCAATATTGTACTACTTTTACCATAATTTGCCGAGTTTCTTGAACAATTACAGCAAAATAAAATTTATTATGGCGAAACTTTTGGAGGCGTTGCTGCAATTTATATTATATACAATACATTTTTATATCTGATTTGTCCTAATAATTGCATTGTACACAGAGGTTCTAAAATTAAAATCTAATTGCAAAATTCCACCTATCTAAAACCTCAAAAGAAGAAAATAATATAACAAATAAAAAAACTTCTTACAAATCCACGTTTTTGTAATGAACTAAAAAGTAGAAAATAATTTTCTCCTGTGGCTATAGAAATTTTTGAAAATTTATTGAGACGATAGTAAGTGACAAGAAAACTTTTGATTATGAACTCTTAATAATTACGATAAAATTTGTAAAAATTTTAGCGAAAAACGTGGTGCGCATCTTGTCACTTTAAATGATCATCATCGTCCTTAATTACTTTAACTATTGCTTCTTTTTTCTGTTCTTTTTTTTCGTTAAATGCGCACCACGTTTTTCGTTTAAAATTTTACAAATATTATCATAATTATTAAGAGTTCATAATCAAAAGTTTTCATGTCACTTACTATCGTCTAAATTAATTTTTAAAAATTTCTAAAGCCACAAGAGAAAATTATTTTCTACTTTTTAGTTCATTTCAAAAACGTGGTTTTATAAAAAGTTTTTTTTTATTGTTTTGTCTTAAAATTTTAATAATTCCCTACATAATCAAGTACTTATAGGTGACACAACGTATATACTGTTTTCTTTAAATGAAAATATTATTAAAATCGAGCAATTTGGCAAAAAGTTATAACGTACCGAATTTTTTAAAAAATATGGATTTGTTGTGGTCAAAATAATATTTTTTATTTTTAAAATCACCATAAATTTGTCAATTTTTATCTAAGTGCCTATAACTTGGTATTAAAGAATAAGGAATCGAGTGTAGGGTAGAAATACTCCTATTGAATTATAAAAAAACCCGTATCCGCATCCCGCATTACGTTTAAATCTGTGATAATTTTACATAAGTTATTTTTCGTAAACAACATGCGTAATTTATTTAAAATATTTTTCAAAATATATTTTTTTAATTTACAAAATCTTTAAATTTTTTAATCTTTTTATTTACAAAATTTACAAAATATTATAAACATGGAGATTTTGTAAATTAAAAAATTTATTACTTTTCATTTTAAGTATTTATTATACTTTATAATATAAAGTATTTATACGTTGGAGATTTTTTTATATTAAAAAAAAAATGCAAAAAACTTTTTTTCTCTATTTTTTCGTATAATTATATTTTTGAATTATTTGTTTAGTTTTTTATTTTACTTTTTGAAAGAGATTATTTTTTGGTTAGGAAAACGTTTTTGTTTATCTGTTGTATGCATCATTAATTTTTAGAAAAATTTTATTTTTTTAATTTTTTAATATTTCATTAATTTTTAAAAAAAATTGTAGAGCATAGATATCCTGAAAAACATATCGTTTGTAGTTTTGTTTGTGCGCAGCTAGTTGATTATATCATTTATAAAAGGGGGCCTACTTAAGGGGGCCACTCTCTCCAATGAGTAACACAACACGTTGTTAAAAAACTGAAAGAAATTAGGTGGCTTAGTAAACAGGTTATTTAAAAATAATCACTGCTCGCTGTATTCATTACATAGTATGTAAATTTTTACGGCTACAACTATAATAATAATAATAAATTGCAGAAGATACTAAACTTTTTTTCTAAAATTTTATCGCACACTAATTTCGCTGCAGACCTGCTGGATTGTCTACGCTTTGAAAATGAAAACACTTGGTTGCTTAAGTTAAAGATTTTAAAATGCTTTATTATTCACTATGATCAAAGCTGTTACTTTTAAAAATAACTAAGGTATGAATGAATGCTTAAGAAGCTATACTAAAGAGCGTGATTTGGGATTTGTTTTTACATCTAACCAGACGTGGAGCACACAAATTCATTCACTTGTCTCAAAATTTCCTAAAGGTTTTTGTTTGTTAAAGAAAGCATTCATTTTCATTGATGGAAATATGGCTAGTTTATATGGCTAAGTGTTTGTAAAACTGCACCTTGAATATGCAGTGTCTGTTTGGGCTTCTTATTTAAAAACTAATATAGCCTTTGTTGAATCTGTTTAACGCAAAATGAGCTTCCAGCGTGATACAACTTTGATACTGGGTGAGATTAAAAAGTTAAATTTACCATCACATGTCTTGAGTCTTGGCACTTAGGGTGCGATCCAATCCAAATTTATAATCTAATAAATCGTTTTGATATAGTTGATAATATATATCTACAAAAATCTTTGCCCCATGGTCACCTATTTAAAATAAGGCGTCAGAACAAACTACTTGAACTTAAAAGTCCACTAGACCTTTTTTTTAAAGTAGACTAGACTTCTGGTTGGATTGAAAATTTAGAGCAAATTTTTATATATAACTTGTTGTTTTTAGAGGGGTCGCTAAATTTACCTATTACTCATTGTATGTAAATATTTATGACTACACTTATAGTAATAACAACAACTACATCCATTGCAATGTAGATTAATCTACCTATGTGCAGGCCCTACGAGAGGGTAGCCACATGGGTCATATGGCCTAAGTCTCCGATTATGTTGGGGCCTCACATTTTCAAAATATATTTTTCAAACATCGAAATAATAGTTCTAAATTTCTAATTACACTAAGAAAATTAACGTCCCAGGCCTCCATAAGAAATGTGTTATTAGTAGACAAGCAAGTTTCTCGGCTTGTTGGCTTGCTAAAATAAACAAAAAGCGCCTCGTATATGAGTGACAGTTTGTCTTTAATTGCTTTAGTTGACAGCCTGTCTTTATTTTAATAGTTACAGACTTAAATGGTCCCAATTTATCTGAAGACTTAAATTGGCTTTGCATCAACTTGTGTTGCATTTTACGCAAAATGTCCTTTTGGGGCCTCCAATTTATAACTGGACCAGGCCTCTCTAAACCTCTGAAAGGGCTTGTCTCTATGTTTTTTATTTAAGGTGCCTCAAGAAGTCCTTAGAGTCTTATTACAGAGCACCGCGGAGGAGCATTTAACAGGAAGTTTTCCCAACCACTGTCACAAAACTTCCCCAGAGGTCGCTTTGAAACGCAGAATTCTTTCTTCTGAGGCAAGCGTGTTAGCACTACGCCGCGTCTGTTTATTTTAGTGGAGTAACGAGGAGGGGGTCGGGGGCAAAAGTGAAAATTGCCCTGGGCTTAAAGACTTTTAATGGCGTTGAAAAAAACATAAATAATTAACATATTATTTTTTTAATTCAATTGGTGAATTTGCGCCCTCCCAATTTTGGCGCCTCAGGCTACGGTCCAGTCATTAGGATAGAATTGAACTAGTTATGTTTAATTTATTTATTTTTCATGTCATTTAATGTTTTTAAAACGACTTGTGTCTATGAAAATAGCCGTTTTTTAAAATTGATAGGATTGTATCATTGACATTAGAAAGTATCACTGATATCTGCATCTTTGATTGAAATGTGGACACACTCACAATGATACCACTGTGGACATTTTGTGCATTGCACCCAATAGTTCTTCTCAAAGGATATGTTCTTGCAAATCTGTAATAGTATAATGTAAAAAGGTTATTCCTGTATTCATTACAACAACATCTATTACTCTATCTCAAATTTCATAGACTTTTTTATATATTTTTCATATTTCTTAATTTCTAAATGTAACAACGGTATATATTTGTTTTTCGCCAACCAAATCGCATTTAATTCATTGTCGTGGAACAAAATAATAAAGGATAAGAACAAAAATATTTCCTAATACAATATTTGAAAAAAAATTCAGTTAATTATTGTTAAAATAAAATAAACACTTGCCCTACAAATATCGTACAAAAGTTCAAAACCACTTTCAAGGTTCTTTAAACACCTACCGCATAAAGTCTCGTAAATATATTTACGAAATTGTATTTCGTTAAATGGATCATTAATATTTATTTCTGAAAACACAATTTTAAATGAATTTATATAAATACAGAAAATAAAAAAATCGTGTTATGAATCATAACACGATTTTTTTATACATCATAAGTTATGATGCATTTTTAAATAGTCGCAAATTATAAGTAACGCAAGCAATTAACAATTATAATTTACTGAACAATTACAGCATTAAATAATTTTATGCAATAAATGAAATAGTTAATAAATAAATAAATTTATATATGAATTAATTATAAGCAACATAACAAAAAAGTAGTTGCAAAATCGACAACTAAAAAAAATACGAACATATGAATATATATTATACAATATATTGTTGAAAAATAGTGATACCTTCACAAAGATGTAATGCATAATAGCATACGTAAACACCGCAGTTGTAAATATCCTTCTGTAAACAATGACTTGGGGCTGAAATAACGGTTGGGTTTAAAATGTTAAATTTTAGTCTAAAAAGTTCTTTAGCAACAGCAATGGATTTATTGTGTGATAAATTATTTGGCATAATATTTCAATGGAGTGGATCAAGTAGAGTTACTTCTTTTGTTATAACTCTTAGATGTATTAAAATCCAATGAGAATTAGTTGGGTTAAAAAGAATAAAAACTTCTTCTATAACTTTAGTATCAAGATCTTTCCATAAAAGTCTTAAACTTCTTGAACAGCTTAAAGCTAATGCTTCAGTTGGACCTAAATATTTAATTGAAGGGTACCTTTTTTCTAAGCAATGCAGAAAGCCTCCTATTACTTCATCTTGAAGCCAGCCTCTTTTGAAAACTTGGAGTGCTTTTTTTTAAATTAAACAAAACGTCAAATTGTATAATGTTTTCTTATGTTAAAAGGGAAATAAAAAATAGTTGGTGAGCGCCATGTCTAAATACATATATATATGTATGTATATGTATATATATATATGTATGTATATATATATATGTATGTATGTATATATATATGTATGTATATATATATGTATGTATATATATATATATATATATATATATATATATATATATATATATATATATATATATATATATTTATAAATATATTTATAATGTATTTATATATAAGAGTAATTAAGACAAAAACTATAGTTTATTTATACATTATATATAAATCATAGTTTATTATATATTTATAGTCTTATTTACTCTCTAATATATTATCCATTACATTAAATTAACTTGAATAAACCAACTTGTTTAAAAGCTAAAATATTTGATTAGTAACAAATGATTGAATATGTATTTAAGAAAGCTTACGTAATAAGAGTGTTAGTGAAATCACTTGGTTAAATGTTATCGCATATTCTTGTATTTTGCTTATCATGAATTAGATCAACATCAATGTCATTACAACTACACCTATATAAATGCTCACACAAACCATTACAGGCTGGATTTATACATGATACCAAACACAAACTTTCCTTACAAGCTTCAGTTAGAATGTCAACATTGTATGTTATATCTTTTGATTGTCTTTTAACTGTCTATTGAGTTAATTAACATTTACTAATACATTTATCAGAAATCAACATTCCTTTTTCATGTCTTTTTTTATACTTTTTTGGGAGAGATATTGTTCCAAGATAAATAGTGTCTCTTTTGTGGCGCCAATAACTATCTTCTTCGATTGTTAAAAGTAAATTAATTAAGTTCTCTAACCTTTTATTCGGTCGTCTTTACATATAAACTGTTTTCAATTTGTTATGAAATGATTCACATAACATATTAGTATCAGTGTCTGCATGTTGAAAGTTGCGATAACAAGAAGCCCATTTTAGATGTCGTGGAGCATAGTATGTAACAAAGTATCTAATGAAGTTAGGACATTTATGTTCATATGCCTTTACAAAACCATTCATAGTTGGTAAAAAAACATCAGGGTTTTTTTCGTCAACGATTGTCTCTAAGATCCTATAAACTTCTTCTTGTAAATTAGTTGGACCAACTAAAGGAAGTTTATTGCGCCATGCACGTTTTACATGCCATTTGCATAGCAAGTGGCGCACATCTCCAAAAACATTAGTAAAAGCATTCCATCCTGACAAATCATCATCTGTTATAACAGCATTAACTTTAACAGAATTATTGCATCTTCTATTTATTTCCTTTAAAAATGGTGTTATGGTTTGTTCGTCTGCATGATTGGAAATAAGAAAAGCTACTGGATAACCCCTTTTAAATTCATCTCGAACTAGTAAAGTTACAAGAGGGAATGCATACTGATTGGTACAATGTGTAGCATCAATAGAAACAATATGAGATGAATGCGTTTCAAACATTGATAGTTGATGCTTTGTTTGTATACCAACCACAAAGGAATCCTTATTAAGGTCAATGTCATCATACACCTTTGGGCCATTAACAAATTGCTGTCCTTGTGGCTTATAAACCAGAATGCTATTAAAATCTTCAGACTTCAAATTTTGAACAAGTAAAAAAGTTGAAACGCTATCATCAGGGTGAAGCCGACATCCTTTTTTTAATGCTCTGCTGATATCAGAAATGTTCTTTTTTGTAAGAAGATGTGATTTAGTTAAAACAGTATCTTCATCATTTCTATTGTCTGTCTCCAAAACTTTCTCTAAGATCACGATAAACTGTATTTACAGGCACACCTATTGATAATTTAGCGGAAATGGAAAAATTTTTTAATATTACCTGGTATAGGTTGATACATGGTATTTGTAATACCAATACTGTGGTTATGAGTTTTGATATACTGAACATTAGTGACTCCATTTATGTTTACTTTGACAATCATCCTGGCAGGGCAGAAAGCACCTGATTTAACACTCCCTCTGTAGTACCTTTTATTAGGTTTTCTTGCTGGTTCACTAAGAGCGATGCGGTTTTGAATGACCATCATTTTGACAAATATAATAACTTGTTTTTACATCTTTATTTATATTTTTTCCAGTGAAAAAACTACAAGTTTGTTTACTGAATAAAACATAACTATTAAGTTCCTCTTTTTCCTTCCATGCTATAAATTCAGATTCTGATAAAAAATTGTAAGATTCTTTGGTAAATATACCTTCATGACACTCCTCTGTGTTTAATAAGTTTGACTTTTTAAAAAAATACTTGGCCGCAGTTTTGATAATGACATGGCGTTCTTTTATCTTCGGATTGATTATGTCTAAAAATGGTTTTATGTGCCTGTAATGCATGTCTTTTCATGTTATCTTTTCTTGCAAACGACATCATACAAGCAGAACACGTAAAACTAAAAACAACAACTTTTAGTTAGGACTTTATATACTTTAGTGACTTATTGATATAAATTAGGTATTTTACCTAGGTTTTTTTAACCGAATTTTTGTTAAACTAGTCAATGGATTGATTGATGACAATGCTGAAAAAAAACTGATGTAAATTGATTTCCTTTAAAATCTAAATTATCTAGTTTAAACCTTTAAAAAAAAATATTCTTATAAATAAGAGAGGAGATTTACCCTTTTAAATAAAACCTAAAAAAAGTAAAACTTATTCTTACAACAAAAACTTTAAAAAGGGGAGAATTACTCTCATCACAGAACACCGCCAAATAGGTTCACTTTATCAATAAAATTATTCTTTTTGATAACTTAATTTTGAAAAGGGAAGAATTACTCTCATCTGAAAAAAAAAACTTAAGAGAGAATATTTGCTTTTAATGAGGCTTACTCTCTCTAGAGAGAGTAAGTTTCATTAAAAGTAAATATTCTCTCTTAAGTTTTTTTTCAAAGAGAGCTCTTCATCGATATAACATAAGAACTCACAAAACTAAAAACCCTACCTTTATAAGGTTTTATTTCTGCAGCATTAACAGATGATAACTTAACACTAAGCTTGTTAAACATATCTTTGTTTAATTTTACAATAAGTTTATTTACTTTTATAACACCAGGAATTTCAAAACTTTATTATTCACGACGTAGCGACATGCGACAAATTTAATGCAGGTCAAAATACGGGCTAATGTTTCCGTCGGGAGTATTTCTCCCCTACGTAAAATTCAAGGATAAGTGTTCGAATAGGCTACAAATTTTTATTGGTCGCTAAACATTGGGCGTATCGAAAGGGCTAGAGACAACAACGAACCAACAGCTTACTGGATAATAAATGCAAATTTGTATACCTTTAAGAGTAATTTTCAGTGAAAATTTTCATATAAAAAAAGTTGTTATAATTTGCTTCAGACAATTGCAAAGTATAAAAAGTTTATTTTTGTGTTATGGTGGGTGTAAGGGTATCAGTTAAACACACCTTAGGGGTCGTCCATAAATTACGTCACGCAATTTTTAACCAATTTTGACCTTCCCCCCCCCCCCTCGTCACAAAATTGTAATACTTAAGAATCAAGTTTTGTATGAGTCGTCACAAAACCACCAACTCCTACCCCTATAGCGTGACGTAATTTATGGACGAGCCCTTATCTAAAAAAACATTTTTATCTTAATTAAAAAAAAAATCCAATAACAATTCTAAAAAATTGTTTTTAAAATAATAACAAAAATTTCTCGACTTTACGCTCGTAGCACACATTTAGAATCAAGTGAAGGTGTGTGTGCCCATCGCCCTTCATCCTAAAATAAGAGTTGAAATTCTTGTAATTTGATTTAGAAAAAATTTAAATTCAATTATATGAAACAATAAAAATTATAATCAAAACATATTTCACCACATTATAAGATGTTGCCATTATTTTGTAAATCAGCCCCTCTCACCTAAAATAAATTTTTGAAACTAAAAAACTTTTAGTTTCAACAAATACTAGCTTGCGTCTTGGCTCTTAGTGAATGATTAAATTTTAATTTCATCAATGTAACTTAATAACAATAATCATTTTTAACAATAGTCAAGATGAGAACGTAAGCCAGAGCCGTCTATCAAAAAAATTGCAAATCACATCATTAACAGTACCTTTTTCTGTAAGTCACACGATTTGTGGTTCCTATTTTGCAAGTCACACTATTTGCATTACCATTTTTGCAAGTCACACCACCTGCGGTATTTTCTTTGCAATTCACACCACTTGCAGTTTCCTTGTTGTTTTAAATGCTATTTAAAACAACAAAAACTATTTGAAAATATACACATTAGATGTATCTAATTTTTACCACATTAGATGCATCTAATTTTTTATTACTTTTCTGCAAGTCACACCACATGCATACTTCTCTTTCTATTAGACAGTAACACCTATTTCTATTAGACAGTAACAGTAACAAGCACAATAACATTAAGTTACATTAAAGCATAATAAACTATAAAAATATCATCTCTCCTGATACATATATCAGCAGCAAGTTAGAATTTTTTCATGCAATGGTCAACAGCTGAATCAGTTTCATCTTTTTTTCAGTTGGAAATAGTATCAATTCTGTCTTCTTTTCTTATATTTACTTTTTCTACTATCCCACCATAAGTGACAGACTTGTTATTAATTGTATCAAACCATTCATAGCAGGTTCTCTTCCAACAATTCTTTCAGACATCAATTCATATAAGTCATCAAGTTGCTTTGTAGACTAATGCTCAAAAAAATTCTTTATTACATTAAAAGATAGCAAACTCAGCTCTCATTCAAACTTCCTTATTTCTTTTTCATCCATATTTTGCCTTTAGCATGTATGTCTTTTTGAAATTTTTTCGTTTTTAATTTTTTAAATTTGTTATTCTTTTTATATGAACTTTCTTAATATACCACTTACCTACAATTTTCTCTCTATTTGATCATGACTATCAAGATAATCCATAATCATATTTATTTTAGATTTCAATTTGCAAGATATATAACAAATAGTTGCATTAGGCGATTTCCCTTTAGCTTCACTAAACATCAACTTTTCACTATCTATGTTGTGAAGCCTTGCACTAGTTGTCTCCTCCATTAATTTAGCTGTAATAGAAATGGAAGAGTATCTTTCATATTGTTGAATCAAGACACTGCCTTAAGACAGACAAAAGTCATCTTGATAAGCTGATCATCAATAGCGCATAGAATTGTAATTGGTTCTAAAATCTTTGGGGGAAGTTTTTTATCAAAAACATTAGCTGTTCTGCTAAACAGTGCAGCTAGATTAGATTTGCAATCGTTTATTGTTTGCAAAACATTTTTAACTACCTGGATGCCAGTGACATGATCAAAGTTTGCATCCTCAGTTAATACATAAAAAATAGTCATCCATGGCCCCGTGAGATTTTATAAATAAACCAAGAACACACATTTGTTCTATAGCAGTTGTGTTACAAAATGCTGTACGCAAAACTGTTTGTAAAGTGCCACATTTACTGTTCCAGAGGTCAAAATAGAAAATCATAACAGTGTTTAGTAAAAATGTAACAAGTATAGAAAAGAAAGTGGAGACGGTTTCCTCTCTATCTCGGAATTATACCCCTATTTAGTTTGTTTTGTCTAAAATATCAACTAATCCTTACAGATCGCCTTCGACATCTTTAAACCTTATTTTGTTCATGTCAAAATAACATTAACTGCCATACAATCATATCCAAATAAATCATAATATTATTTTCCTAAAGACTTACATGCTCATCGACATTCAGTTGCAATTGTGTCAAGAGGTACCCTCTTGACACAATTGCAACTGAATGTCGATTTGGAATGGCAGTTTAAAAGGTTTTTTCCATTTCTCACAAAGTTTACTTGCGAAAATTTCCCATTTCTCACAAAGTTTGCTTTCCCATTTCTGACAATGTTTGCATTTCTCACAAAGTTTGCTTGCCAAAGGTTTTTCCTATTTCTCACAAAGTTTGCTTACAGTAAGGTGGTTGGCTGCAACACTTACTGACATTGTGTTTGATATATTTGAAATAATCAAACTACAGCAATAATCAAAGGAATGTATATAAAAATTGGAATAAATTTCCTATGTTTTTCATAATTAGCAGACGTCCCTCCAGGCATTTGGTCAAAAGCAATAACCTGACATTTATTTTTTGACGTTAAGTGGACACTATTAATATGAACACCCATGATTTAGATTTGTATTGTAGATGGCCCACTCTGCATCTTGCATGTCAGATATGCACCCAAGCTTACGAGCCATTTGCTCAACTGTGACACGCTGGGCAACATGCACAAATCAACACCAAAATATTATGCAGTTTTTCAAATAGGTTTGGAATGTTACCTGTTCAAACATAACACAATAACATGCTATAGATTATCGTCCTAGTTTGTATTGCGTAATTTTATTATCTCCTGACGAAACTGAAGCAAATCAATCAACCTCCTCCATTTGGATCATATCATTTTCAAATCTAGCAGTTTCCATTTTATTTTCTTCACAAACAGTATTATGTTTGCGCATTTGTCTTAGCTGTTCTCTAGCTTCAATTTTCATTTTCCTTTTATTATATTACAAGATTGCGAATACGCCTATTGTAATAACATGATTTAAATTTATGTTTCATGTTTCTAACTTCAGCTCTCAAAGCTCTCTTTTTATAATTTCAACTTTTCTTTTAATGTCTTGTCTTTAAAACTTTTATTTTGTTGGGCATGTTTCTCAATTTAGATTTCAATAATTCTATCTTGCAACGTTATTCTATAGAAGAGTTAGCTAATTGTGATAACAAATAGCTAACACTATAATAATTTTTGTAAATTATGCAGATTTTGTTAATTTTTGCTATTGCTTGTGGGAATTAGCTTTGCACTACTTGCTGGAGATATAAAACTAATATTTTTTATGATGCAATTGAAGAACAAAAAACAGTATCAACTGGACTAAAGGTAAGTGGCAACGACTGTGA